AGCGTGGTTTGTGTCTCCGAACGGCAAAAAGGCGGCTGCTTGAGAGGAGAGGTGAGTACAAAACTATCCAGCTCTCGTCCTCTAGACCATCGATTCATGTTTTGTTTGCTTGAGTGTCTTCTTCATCAACGGCTCTCATCCGGGCGTGCGTGGTTCAGCAGTGGACGTACTCAACAGGCAGGGAGGCGCGTCGCTGTGAACTCGATGTGTTGAAAAAGTCTTTCTTGGGACGGAGGAACAAGCCCTCTATATTCAAGTGAAAAAATAGACCGAAAAAAACGTTGTGTCCACAACTTTGCGCGCACAACGATGTGCCTCCCTGCCCGTTGAGCGCGGCCACTGCCAACCCACGCACAACCGGATGAGAGTCGTTGATGGAGAAGACACCCAAGAAGACAAAACATGAATCGATGGTCTAGAGGACGAGAGCTGGATAGTTTTGTACTCACATGTCCGTCAAGCGGCCGACTTTTTGCCGTTGGGAAGCGCTGACGCACGTTTTGGTCTCTTTTTGACACCGAGAACATTTTTTCTCGCACGCCCGGAGCGCTATCGCCACATATTGGCGGGCACAGCATCAGCTCAGTGCATCAAGGGTTGTGGGGAGCCCTTTGCGAGCTCGTTACATTCAGTTTCCATGACGCATTTGTGCTTTGTCTGTCACAAATCGTTTGGTAGCAGTAGCGCATTTGTGGTTTGTCTGTCACAAATCGTTTGGTAGCAGTAGACCACGATTCCCGCCGCACGCGAGATGCATTTCGAGAAAACCACACGATAAAGATTTTGTTGCCCATAAAAACGGTACTCAAATGTTCCTCTCTGGCAGATATTCGCGCGCAAATGTTTGACAACATTTGAAGATTTTTTTCAAAGATTTGGCGACCATAAACAAGCATGGGTCTAATCATCTTTGATCTCGTTGATCTGTTTCTATTGTTTACAACAGTACTGTAGTACGCACGATCACACCCGAATAAAAAGGAGACCACCAGAACGCGCTCTCCGCACGCTGGGAAAGGATCCGGGACCAAATGAATGCGGACCCCAGAAGACGCACTTTTCACATTTGGTTTTAGAGGCGAAGCGGACCCTCTTTTTTGTGGCTCTCCAACTGCTGTTCGCGGATGGCGACATGGCGACACAGACAGACAAATTTTAGGGTTTGACGTCAGTCTTATCCGCCGCAGAAGGTGGAAGCTACCCAAAGTCGGGGAGGGATCGCGATTTGCAATTCCCAAGGGAACCGTACTTGAGGCGCCATGAGATTTGCACTCCCGTGGCCGAGGTTATTAGGCGGCAGGGAAACACAAAAAAAAAATGTTGGGCGGACCGGACCCTCTTTTTTCAACTGGCAAACAAACTGTTGTTAGGATGGCGAGACAATTTCCGGTCTTCCTGTCCGTCACAGGAGGCGGAAGCTGATGCTCAAACTCAGGGAGGGGTCATGGTTTGCGGTTCCCTATCGAACCATACTCACTCGGGGCACCACGTCATGTTCATGGCAAGAAAAACATACCCCCAACGAAAACTGCTGGAGTAGTGGGTGGGTGTGGGGGACCCCAAAACAATGAAACAGTCACGGTTCGCGTTGTTCTGGGGGGCCCACCGGTGAAAAACCACCATCGCCACTCTGAACCGGTAGAAGCTGTAACATACCATGGCACTGACACGAACATTAGGGGCCATGCCCATTGGTTGACGGAAAGAGGCGGCGCCCATGGCCTCACATGCAGCAGCCGGATACACGGGGAGCCTCCTACTCCGCAAGAAGAAAAACGATTGCCGTTCGTTGACGTTCGATGTTGTTGGGACCCTAATGGCGCAATGCGACAGAGGGAGAGAGAGAGGTAGACTAAAGGAAGAGAGACTCGAGAAGACAAGGGATGAACTCTCGAGAAGACACTCACTCTCACCCCTCTGGTACACCGCAGGCTTGAACACGTGTAACGAACGGCGACGTCCGATGTGCGCTCAGCAACAACAAACACAACAAAAGAAAAATAGTCGTCGTTTCCGAACTGTGGAGACTTTCATTTTTTTGTGGTATGAAGTGGCAACAAAGAAGAACACGACGATCTGTGTAGACTAGACTAGAGGCACGACGGACGAACTATTATCTCAATGCGCTTGCCGTCGCGACAGATGCGCACCGCTACCGCTACACGAACGAGCAGACTGTTGTCAAACCTGACAACGATAATCTTAAGACCAGTGCACCACATTTCCGAGCATTTCCACAGTAGCAGCCGCATTTTCCGAACTGTGGAGACAATTGGTGGGGATTTTCTCTATTTTTGTGGTATGAAGTGACAACAAAGAAGAACACGACTATCTGTGTAACTAGAAGGACGACGGACGAACTATTGTCTCAATGCGCTTGCCGTCGCGGTGGATGCGCACTGCTACCGCGACACGAACGAGCAGCCTGTTGTCAAACCTGACAACGATAACCGTACGACCATTGCAGCACATTCCGAGCATAACAGCAGCAACAGCGGCAGCAGCCGCCGCATGTGCACAACGGTCACTCAAGAACAAACGAAAAAAAAATTGTGGCGCGCAGCACGCAGGAGGACCCTCTTTCGCTGTTCAATGGCGAAACAGGCAAGGAACAGTCAAGGCCCACTCTTGCCGGCCACAGGAGGTGGAAGCTGCTCAAACTCGGGGACGGCTCATGATTTGCGATTCCACACCAAACCATACTCGAGGCGCCACGAGATTTGCACTGTAGCTCGAGAACAGCATTGTAGACCGGGTCGGGCAAGCGGTGGGGGATGCGAATGAAAGTTCCACCCACCTACAAGTACGGATATCGAACGATGAGACTGAAGCTAAAGCTTCAGAACTTTCATTTTTTTCTAGACCTACCTGTAGACCGCGAGGAGAGCGCAGCCGAATTGAACAGGGTTGACAGGGTTGTCGCGTGTGATGCTACAGCACCCCTTCACACACGTAACACACCTATCATGTACACACGCGCACTAACGCAAACACAGCACGCGCGCACGATGTCTGTCTCACCTTTTCAAGCAGATCTCAAGATCTTCTTTTCACGCGCTCCCTCTTGTCTGCTCCCACACTCTTTTTTTGTCTCCGTTCGTATAGGCTCTCTCTCTCTCTCTCTCTCTCTCTCTCTCTCTCTCTCTCTCTCTCTCTCTCTATGTTCCACCACGGTGTCTCCACAAGGCACAGCAGTTGGCTGTTGCTTTCCACGACCCGATCTCTCCCTGTCTCTCCCTTTCTCTCTGCCTGTCTCTCTCTCTCTATCTCTCTCTCGCTCGCTCTCTGTGCGTGTGTTCCACTACAACAGGGGTGTGTCCTCAAAGGCACAGCAGTCAAACTGCTGATTCCCACGGCCCCATCGATCGGGAAAAAAATCAGAATCCACGGCGTCCCCATAAAAAATCACTGACACTAATGGGATCCCACGTGGGACGTCCCATGGGACACGTGGGACGTCTCGTGGGACACGTGGGACGTCCCATGGGACACCAAATCTAGAACGCGGGACTCGTGGGACGCCCCATGGCACCACGCTAGGGACGTCCCACACGGGGCGCTCGAAAACAGGCGTGGGACGTCCCAGCCGGTCTCCCCTACGGTGTCCCACTGCTGTCCCACAGGTGTTCATAAAATTAGCTATATTTTATCAGCTGATTTAGTGGATGATATAAGAGAATACGATGCATGAATAGCGAGTTTGCTAACTTTCGAACTCACTCGTGTATTGTTGGAACAGAAGTAGTCTATAGTCGCCGTTTCCGAACTGTGGAGACTCTCTTTCATCATCATTTATTTGTGGTATGAAGTAGAAGCTGCAACTGACAACAACAAAAAAAGGTGACGATTAGAAACACCACGGACGAACTACAGCAACAGTATCATCTCAATACCTCAATACGCTTGCCGTCGCGATCTAACGAACAGACAGACAGACATGCTGCTTTCTCACTGGCGACAAACGAGCGGCCAGCGGTGTGGGTCCTAACCGTGATTGTGTGCACATGGGTTTTCGCCGAACAGCCCCGCCATTTTCGGGTAGGGGCAAGAACAACCGCGGGTACTCCTCCGGGGGGTGAGTAGCCAAGATCGGGTGCACCCGGTGGAAAGACGGTCAAGGTCGGGTAGGGGCGGGCATCGGCCAATCAGATGGTGTCATGCGGTCGCTCCCAGCAGCATCTTGTAGGAGTACCCGATTATGGCCGTGTTTGGACCGGGTGTACCCGATTTTTGGCCACTGCTCAATAAAATTGAACACCATGGTCTGTGCAAGACACACGAAAGCGGACAAAAAACACATGAAAACAAGCAACCGCATAGGGAAAAAAAACGACTTCCGGGCATCAGCCACCGCGGTTCCATTGCGAGCTCTATTGCGACAGGTCACCCCTTACACTTTTCGTATTCTTGCACCATACAATTTCTTTGTGACAACGGTGTAGGGCAGAAAACTGCCCCATTTGCAGATTGGTTGTAGGCAGCGGCGATCCGGGTAGCATGTAAAATAACACATTTATGACCTCCAACTATTCAATTGTATTTAATTTGTTGAGCTCGACGGTTCCTCCTCATGGACAGATACGCTGGGTAGCAGGCCGGTGGTCCCCCTTGGCCCTATAGATTGTCACCGCAACCCGTCAAGCAGCGTTCCTGCTTTTACCACTACCACCTGTTGCAAGAAAAAAATTATTGCAATCCATCGTGCGGTGCACACCAAACCTGGAAGAACACCCCCGTATGTGCGAAAAGCTCCCGCCGTGTCACACAAGCTACCGGAATGCCTGGATTCTCGGGATACCGGACAACAAGCACTCCCTCTACCACGCTCCGGTGTTTCGGGTGAACTCGACGGATCAGGTACCGACAGCGAGATGCGCTCGTTCTCCCAAGCTTGTCCCAAGTCAACATATATATTCTCTCTCTGTACCCTGTGGGTACAACGGATGGTATGCGGCTTGGGTGGTTTCATGTGCATACGCTGCATCTAACGAGACCGACGTCTAGCGAGTTGGAGCAGCAGTCGAATGGGAATCCAACCATTTTTGAACGTTGTCGTTCCGGACCCACACCATCCCGCCCCTACCGTCGCTGTGACGCTTCATCTCCTCCCTGAAGTCTATGTAGCCATCACACCATCCCGGGCGTTCTTCCGCCTCCTGCGTTCCTCGTTTTCCATGAAAACCTTGAGCGCTTCATACGAGGCCCTCGTGTCCCTTTGCAAATCTGCGCCGATGCTGTCCTCACCCAAAACAGCATGAAGCAGTGCGTCCTCGTCGAGAGTGCGGTCTACTAGCTCCTCGACCAACCCATTTTTCAAGTCCTTCAGGAAATCCGAGATATCCACGTTCAGCCCTGTCGTTGCGTTCAGCGCCACCTTCGCGGTCACCACGGCTACCTATAGGAAGAGAGGGCGCGACTAAGGGGGCAACAAAGAATCCATCAAAGCTCATCGTCACTTACGTTTCAAAGGGTTACGCCAGGAAACAGAGTATTCATAGTCAAAGACTTGACGTCTGCAGCACGTATTGCATGGGAAGAATTGCTCATTCGGAATGCGACTTTCCCTCCCCCAAAATAGGAGGGTATCAGGAACCGTAGAACCTTACAGTTGAACCCCACCTGAAGTGGTGTCACCGACTCCGACCGGCGTACTACAAATTCCTGTCTTACCTGAAGCACAGGCGATATTTCCTTCACCCAGGCACGGGTCTCCTGAAATCGATAGCCGTCACCACCATAGCCACACGGCACCTTAGTCATGTCGACCGGGCACAAGAAATGAAGTGTCATGTCCTTCTTCCCCACGCCACGAAGTTTGCTCGGAAGAAACCTCTTCCACCCTGTGGCCCTCAAAGATCTGTCACCAATTCCAGCCTCCTTGACGACCACAAGGCGAGGGTAACGGTAGTTCGGGGTCTGCAAGTCCGTGAGGCGCATGAGGCTTTCCTGGGTGCTCTCTAGCACCTTGTCCAGGGTTCCCTGCATCGTGCCGAACCCGTCCTGCACCTCCTGCTTCACTTTACGCAACCCAGCCACGGTGTCACCAAATCCTCCCTCCACCTCGTCCTTCACGTCACGCAACTCGGTATTGGTGTCGTCGAACCCTCCCTTGACCTCACCCTTCATCTCGTCGAATATTTCCTTCATCTCACCCTTCATGCTGGTGAATCCTCCTTCAACCTCAGTGAATCCCGCCTTCACCTCCGCCTTCACCTCGTTGAATCCTCCCTTTGTGTCACCCTTCACCTCGTTGAATCCTCCCTTCATCTCAACCTTCAAGTTGTTGATCTCCTCTTCCACCTCGGCGAATCCCCCCTTCACAGCTGTGGCCACGATCTCTCGAATCAACTCGCCCTCCTGCCTGGAGGGATCCTGCTTTGTACAAACACGACGCGACCGCAGGCGCAGGACGACCGCACTCAGCGGCAACGCATAAAGCTAAAACACATGTGTGCCCCGACCAAAAAGAACCGCAATCCTGGTCCACACACGTTGCGGAGACACCATGAGCCAGGCAGGAGGGCCAGGTGATTGCAATGTGGAATAGGCGATGTCAGCACATGTCTCCAGCGCACCCTTTCCCAACGAAGGCGTATTGATAGACGTCATAGAAGTGAAGTTTTGCTGCCACTACTGCCCATACTATTGGAACGTGATGGTGTTGTACACTTGCGCAGCAGACGAGGCGGTGAGCGAGGAGCAAAGGAACACGGCAACATCAACATTGTGCTCCGATTCTTCTCTCTGGCACACACAAGACCAAGCTACTGCAGATACAAGCCACAGAACAAGCCGGATTGCGGAACCTATCATCAGCGGACAATCAATGCCCAGGGAGGATGGGCTTCGAGAGGAATCAACATTGTAGAACATCCGAAGGATATCATTAGTCCGTACGTAATTTAGGCGTTTGATATTCCCAAGAATTACGTACGATATGGATGGTCAGACGCTACGAGCAGCGGCGCCAAAGCACGCCAATAACTGACGGCAAACCGAATCGCCGAAAGGTCACCGAAACAGGCCAGACCTAGATGCTAGCGAGTTCGTGCGCTTTGGTCCACAATGGGCACAGTTTGTCGATGGAAGAACTGAAAACCTGATGTCGGTTGTTCTCCATCGGATCATACCGGAACACACATTGATGCGGCCAAATCACTCCGATTAGTTCGGTTGCGCAATATTTACAACCAAAAAGTTGCAATCCGTTCTCACCGCCGGGCAAGCGAAGCAGTACTGACTCTTCAGGTCGTCGAACCTCGCCTTCACCTCGTTGAAAATCACGTCTGCCATTTGAAAAACGAGCGGACTAAATATGTCAGCCTGCCCGAACAGTTATTCTCTTGCTCACTACGCGATGCTCGCTATCAGTATGCCCCCATGGGTGGACCGCGAGGGTGACGACAACGGTCGAAACTTGACTGGGCTGGAGACATCGAGTTCATTCCTCCGTGTTGCCTACTTCGTTGCAATACGTGCAACGTAAGCACGAAAGTCAGCCTTGATGACGACCCCGTCAAGGCGCAGACAACGCGACAGAACTACAATCTCGTGCCGCCAATACATCTATCAGTAGACCTACGGCTGGACTCACGGATCGACGAGGACATGCTGACACTGCATTCGGCAAAGGCTACATGTAGCCAACTATTGCCGAAAACGTAGGAGTCAATATACAGGTGGGAGCAATCGAACAGGATTGGGGGAAAACGGGGGTATGAACATATAAACTTCTACATCGGTTTTACCAAGGGTCGGAGTTGACACACAAGATTGCAAAGACGTCAACAAAACCACCCCCAAGTAACCTATCAGCCGTGATTTTCGTGATCAAAGATGGGCAGAGATCCGGTCGTTTTTCGTTCTTCGTATATATATCGCCACAAGCAAAGTCTCAGTCTGTGCGAGTGTGTATCGTGTATTGCATGTGCTCGATTGCAATATGGGAACGCTCGCAAGTCTGTTACAGAGATATTTGGTAACGGTTCGCCCTGTGCGATTTTGATTAGTATCGCGGAGGGCAAGGATAATTCGGGGGATAGAAAATAGAAACAAAAAGACGGATGTATGATGTGATCTTATTCAGTATGGCAAATCCTAGCTGTCGCAGAGGGGCGCGCCTGAAACTAGCAGAACCATGCGAATAAAAATAAAATTCCGTTGGCGTGGCTGCGATCGCACAAGTGGCAGACATCGCGCGCATGAAGAAACGCAAGTGAGAGTTCGGTACTCCAAGCTCGACATTGGTCGTTCATACCTCGGTCCAGTCGGATGTCCACTAACCGCAAGAGATCGATAGCCGCGTCCCCGAGCCCTCCCGTATCGGCACTGCATTGTGGGCATCTACTGCCTTCCAGAAATTTGTCTCCATCTCTTGTCGCCTGACAATTGGGATGCAACACCTTGACCGTTGTAAGCGTGAAAAATGAAGCTCGCATGTCGACCTGAGTATTGTCTCAAACACCTTGATGTCTTGGAAAATGATGGAACGCCGAAAACCCCATCGGGCAGCAACAGAATCACGCAAGTCTAATACGTCAAACGCTACCTTTGGCACGTGCACGAGTACAGTCACCAAACAACAGTAAACGGTGAAATCGAGACTCGTTTTCATGCAGCCACGTGCTTCTATGGATGCATCACGTTTCCGACGACATTCCGGTAGCAAAGATTCCCGCTACCATACCACCAGCAGAGCAAGCGCCTGACAATACAGAATCCGTGCGACTTGACACCCGTTCAAGTCTCACGGTACATTGGCACTAGCTGCTCTGCTCCCAACTCTCGAGAGCGTCATACCTAATGGGATTCCCATGGCAACATCGTTACGGAGAAGAAAAATGTCCTCCCACTATGATCGCTCATGTGAACGATACTGGAACATGGACAGCACAACATTGTCGATTGGGCGAATAGACCATGACAATTCCCACACGGGGTCGACTGTTCCCAGAACCGGGCGATTCGAGCGACCAGAAGTGTAGTCTGCTTAGACATTCATTGGTCCACAGACATACACGTGTTGAGGGCTTACCTTGTTCGCAAAGAGCATCCCGTCGCCATGCTGAGGACATTTCAGAGAGCCTTTCCAGCGCAGTCCTGGAAAATCCACCAGCATCAAGCTCACGGCAGACATCACGTATGACATCGCCATCCACGGCCCTGGGGTGCTGATATCGCCGAAAATTTGAGCAACAAGCTCATTATCGATGGACGAGTATTCCACGACCACAGCAAATGTCCTGCGCTCATCTCGGACGCCGAGGCCGCCATGCACAAGCACCCCATATCGCCAGAATGTTTGCACACCACGAAGACCGCAGCACCGCGTCAACACCTTTTCGACCGCACCCGGCGGTACACCCAGGAAGATCTTCCAACTGGCGCGGAATGCCGGGGTGAGTCCCGAGCAGAAGGTATCGATTACTTTGCCCGAACTCTCGGGGCGGTGTGGCTTTAGCCTCAACAGAACTACCAGGCCTTCAGCAGGATCGTTTTCGAGTGGGAAAGTGAGACCCAACGATGCCAGAGTCCGCAGCACATACTCGGACAGACCATCCGGCCACATGGCATCCGCCAACCTGGGTTCAAGCACACCCTCCTTGAGCCTGTCCCACGAAGCGATGTCTGATGGATCGTCGAGCGTGATGCGTGTGTCGTCCGTGTCCCCAAGATACACATGGCCGTCAAAGGCCTCTTGGTCCTTGTGGTTGAGTAAGGGCTTGAGGATTTTCGCCAGCAAAACGACATCGAGAAAGACAAATTTCTCGTGGCGAACGAGGAATCCGTCGAACTCCCTGCGTGCACAACGTTGTGAAGCCAAATGTACAAGTTGGAAAATCCGCCCAGGAGCAATCCAAGGTCCAAATTCCATGCGGATTCTTGGGAGGAAGCATCGTTGCAACGTCGTTTTCCGACAGGACCAACAAAATACTCGAGACCTAGACATATTAGCTTTCTAAGCGATCATGTACACCGAACTGCAGCCATGCTATACCTAGCATTGACCATAGTAGGATCTCAAGCGTGGTGAAAAAAGAGGTCGCCAAATCGAAAAGCCGATTTGATCCATTTACCTGATCGAGAGAGCTCCTTCCAAAGCATTCTCGGCGTTTGTGACCGTGATCGTTCTCCTCCTAAGCTCATCAACTGTTTCCTGCCATTTGGCGCTGAGTTCCTCAACCGTGATCCCCTGATACGCGGTTGTCTTGCCTACTGCTGTTTCCGTCGCACCTCTGTCACTGTTGGGGGACTTGTGCAACACCATCTCCATCGGATCTCTGCGAAAGCAGTATTAATACAACAACACGTTCAAACGCTTTCATGTCGCCGGACTGTACATCTCGTCGGCGCTCGTGGCACGCCAGTGTTCGAGGACTGCATCCATACCTCTGCATCGTACGAGATGCTAGTGCACAGCAAACACCAACTTATCGACATTTGGACGAAGGCCACTCGCGAACAAAATATGGGCACGTAGGCCCGAGAATCAACAACGGGAATTCGACGGGGCATGGTGCCACGGGGCTACGTTTCGTCACCATGACCAGGCCGAAGAGGACGTACTCAATAGAGGTGTTCAACGTAGTGGTGTTCAAATCCCACCCAAAACGTCAAGTGAGCAAAGGGTCCACAGACACCTCCGGTCTCAACATACGAAGGTACCCAAAGTCGGTGTAGAGCCCAAGCGAAACTCCATGACCAAGCTCACCGTCCGTGCTCGAGAGAATCCAGGAAAGTCAGGGCGATATCCCAGCTGCGAGGAAGTACATTCTGGACGCCTCGGGGCCCACCTTCGTCTGGCTTGTTGATGAGCCGGTACAGCAAACTGGGCGAGGGGTTATCGTCTTCCACGTCTCGCCAGTCGCACGCCCAACCCTGCTTCGACGCATTACTCCCAGTGCTACTCTCGCCATGCTCACCAACTCCTATCGGGAAGCAACTCGTGAGGGAAACGTGGGGCTCCAGCCGGACGGGGTTCATACCATTGCGAACCCAGCTCGAAAGCCACGTCCTACAGGCAAGCTCTATTCTTTGTCCAGTTTCCTCAACGCCGCTCACCAAGTCACACTTGGTAGCGACCAGAATGACGTCGTTACCGGGAACGCGACGAGATATTGACCGCAGCCAATCGCATACGCGCAATCCTTCCAGCTTGCGGCAGAACATTTTGGGTGTGGTCCCAGAGAGCTGCCAAGCGAACCGAGAGTGTCAAACAGAGGTGGCCGCAGGCAGCCAAGCAGAGCCGGGCCAGCGTGACAGGATTCAGCAAATATAGGAGTGATGTCGAAGCGTAAGGTCGTGGACATCCTCGGGATACAGAAAACGAAGCAGGTCAGAAGCAAGATTACATCACCGACTACAGGGACGGGACTGTGGCCTTAAGCCCACCGAGAATCCGGTGAGGACAGTATTGGCTATTCCTGTATCAAAACGAAGAATGACACGGCCGTTGATCAAAGCTTCAGCATGTGCAGTTTATTCCTAGTCGTGTGGGGGCACCCGTCTCTGCTCCTCGTCGAATTTCGAGTTCGTTTATTCCTAGACGATGGAATGTGGTGAGGCATATCAACAACTCATTCATTCAGCTGAAATCGGAAAGCAGATCTCGTCATTTGTCAAACCCTCCAGAGACCGTTTTGGTCGCTTAGATGAAAAAAAAGCGGAAAAGAGCAAGCTTGCACGCATCCCGAAAAATGGGCGCGACCACTCAGGGAAACGCTCACTCGGCATTATACTTTCCTGGTCACAATGGCCCTTGATGCGTGCTGTCTCATTCTATAGGCGCAATTTCCGAGCACCTGACAGGCTTGAACAAGCTGTGAAGTTTCTTCGGCGAAAATCAGTTCACGGGATGGATCAATTGATTCAAATGGGCCGGCCTGATCTAGAAAGTTGACGCTTTTTGTCACTTTCGGTGTTCCGCTGTGCCGCTTCAGACAGGCCCGATACCAAAGGAGCCCGGGGGCCTCACCGACCTGAAGGTGCTTGGGCTGAGCAACAACAAACTTAGAGGTAAACTGGCAAGTACTGCACATATATTGTGTTTCTTGAAATTCCCGGATGGTGTTCCTTGACTCCTTTAGAAACAACGTTGCATGAATCCCACCCACGCGTAGGCTACTACGAAATTTCACAATTGCGGAACTCGCGGGACATCTTTTGCTACGCGTTGGTGATTAGTTGTTCTCGAAAGCGGGGAATTGTATTGTTTTTTCCTCGATGATCCCGTTTTGCTCTTCTGCTAGCAGGCCCCATCCCACCGGAGCTTGGAGATCTCCGAGAGCTGCGGGAGCTGTGGCTCCACAACAACAAGCTCACAGGTAAGCTTATTATTTTGGCAAGTCGTTTCAATATATTGTTAGCGCTGATTCTGGATGAACCTCGCGGATGCGTAGGCGAGTACGAAATTTCACAATTGCGGAACTCACGGGACATCTTTTGCTACGCGTTGGTGCTTAGTTGTTCTCGAAAGCGGGGAATTGTATTGTTTTTTTCCCCGATGATCCCGTTTTGCTCTTCTGCTTGCAGGCCCCATCCCACCGGAGCTTGGATATCTCCGAGAGCTGCGGGAGCTGTGGCTCCACAACAACAAGCTCACAGGTAAGCTTATTATTTTGGCAAGTCGTTTCAATATATTGTTAGCCTTGATTCTGGATGAACCTCGCGGATGCATCGGCGAGATTCATCCATGGATCAATGCTAGAAAAAAACTAAATCATCAAAATAAAGTAGGTACCTGTAAGGTGGTTCGCGCTGAGCCGCAGCCACTGCAGCTGTCGGAGATCTCCTAGCTCTGGCGGGATGTTGCCTGCCAGACGAAGGGAAAATAAGAAGTTGGCGGGAGAAAAACAAAATTGATCCCCCGGCGTCTAGAAAAACGGTCCTGCCAACGCGTACGCGTCCATGGATCTACGGAGATCGAACATAAAATAATGAGGATCAATCTAGTTTGCTTGTCTGCTTACAGGGCCTATCCCGCCGGAGCTGGGCAAGCTAACAGCGCTGGTGCAGCTTCGACTGTGGAACAACCAGCTATCCGGTGAGGCTGAAGTTGAGCATGAATGCCGCGTATGTAATTGGCGTCATAAAAGTTATCCCGCTAGTTCTGAAGTTTCGTGGACGCGTACGCATACACGGGATTCATTTTGAAAATTCTTGGGATTTTTCTTCAACACATCTAAACAGTGTCTCACCGCTTAGCTGGTTCTGGTGGAGGTACAGAGCTTGAAGTGCTGCGAGCTTTCCCAGCGCCGGCGGAATGGGACCTATAAGTGGAAGAAGGAAAACGGAGTGATGGTTGCGGGTCAAAACAAAAATAATGCCCCGGCTTCTAGACCAGTGAGTGGACGCCAACTAGTTGGCGGGACGGGATCTACGGAGATCGATATACTAAACCAAACGTACCCACTCACGCCGAATCGGTCGCGAAAGAGCTATCAATTCACGTGTTCACCCACCGCTTAGCTGGTTGCCGGAAAGGGCGAGCTCCTCCAGTGCTGAAAGGTGCCCCAGCTCCAATGGGATGGGCCCTGCAAGAGGACGGGTGGAACGGAGTACCTGCGCGGGACAAAAAATATAACCCCCCGCTTTCTAGAACATCGGTCCCGCCTACTAGTAGGCGGGTACGAAATTTCACAATTTCAGAACTCGCGGGACATCTTTTCCTACGCATTTTTTTTCTAGAACTGTCCTTAGTGATATTTCTCCCTACTGCATTATTGTGCAGGACCCATCCCCAAGGAGCTGGCAGCACTTAGTAGGCTGGAGATTCTTTGGCTCCACCGCAACAACCTCACAGGTGAGAGAATCGAAGAGGAGTTGAAATTTTTCTTGTTCACGAAATAAGAATCCTGCGGACGTAATTGGCGTCATAAAAGTTATCCCGCTAGTTCTGAAGTTTCGTGGACGCCAACTGCGTACGCGTCCATCCAACTACATACACGGGATGTTCCACAGCATCATCAATGACAAAACCTAAACAACCGCCAAAATTATCGCGAAAAAATACGTAATTGGTACCTGTGAGCTAGTTGCTTTTGAGCCACAGGACCCACAGCTCGCTGAGAGCCCCTAGCTCAGGTGGGATGTGGCCTGAAAGCGGACAGGGGGAACATAATAGCTCAGCGGGGCAAAAAAAATGTATCTTCCCGTTTCTAGAACACACCTTCTCACCTACGCATGGACGCGTACGCGTAGGCGAGTACGAAATTTCACAACTACGGAACTCGCTGGATATCTTTTGCTAAGCGTAGTCGGGTCCGATGTTCTAGAACTCGGGGGATGTTTTTTTGCTCTACCTCGCTAAATTACCCTTTTGACTCGTTCCTCTACAGGCCACATTCCGCCGCAGCTGGGAGATCTTGGTGCTCTCAAGTCCCTCAGCCTCTTCAACAACAAACTAGGCGGTGAGTTGAACAGATCGAAAGTATTTTATTCTGTCGGGTTCTGAACATGCATGAATCCCGCGTACGCGTCGGCGAGATTCATGTACCTTGTGTCAACATATTTAGTAAATGAAATGGATTTCATCTTCTGGACTCACCATCTAACTTGTTGATGCTGAGATTGAGTCCCTTCAAGGCGCCAAGTTTCCCTAGCTCCGGAGGGATAAGACCTGCAAGCAGGAGAGCAGTACGAGAAAAACAGAGAATTGACTAAATGCTTCTCCGCCTATTCACGCACACACGGGATTCATTTTGAAAATTCCTGGGATTTTTTTTTTAACACATCTAAACAGTGTCTCACCGCTTAGCTGGTTCCCGTAGAGGTACAGATTTCGAAGCGCTGCGAGCTTTCCCAGCGCCGGCGGAACGGGACCTGTAAGTGGAAGAAGGAAAACGGAGTGATGGTTGCGGGTCAAAAAAAAAAAATGCCCCGGCTTCTAGACCAGTGAGTGGACGCCAACTAGCGTCGGCGAGATTCACGTACCTTGTGTCAACATAATAGTAAATATAATGGATTTCATCTCCTGGACTCACCATCTAACTTGTTGCCGCTGAGTGCGAGTGTCTTCAACGCACCAAGCTTCCCTAGCTCCGGAGGGATAGGACCTGCAAGCAGGAGAGCAGTACGAGAAAAACAGAGAATTGACTAAATACTTCTCCGCCTACTCACCCACACGCGTAGCAAAAGATGTCCCGCGAGTTCCGCCATTGTGAAATGCAAGGGTATGTTCTGTAGGGTCTGTAACTTTCTGTAGGGTATCCGAAGTTGTCACAGAACTCACAGAACTATCGGGTAGGTATTGGAAGTGTCACAGAA